GTTGGTAGTGAGTACTGCGTGTCGAGTGTGTTACTCGGGTGGATGTGCGAGTGTTTGGGAGCGTCAAGGCTGTGCTAAATTCTTTCAATATGATGAATAATCAACTAGCCCAAGAACAAGTTTTATTGATTCATGGTCTCCGCTGGCTCCTCGGAACCATTGATCGGCATTTTACACATTAGAAGTGTACCCCTCCCCAATCTCGTTCAAGGTCGTCACGCAGTAATATTTCAGAGCACTGATCGAATTGGATGGCAATTTTGCACACTGGCACCCCAACATGCAAAACCAAGCACGCCACTCAATGTCCTTACAGTCGAACTCCGCTACAACGAACGCTGCTTCAACGGAATTTCCACTACAACGAAAAATTCACAATTCCCCGTCTGCAGTCCATAAAAGTCAATGCATAAATATTGTCGCCACAACAAACACTTTTTCTTCAATCGTCCCCCTTCAACGAACATTTTCGATGCAATTCCAGGCTCAGATACTTATTGCTAGGCAGTAAACCCAATCTTCAACATTTAAATGCATTTTCAGAGCCCGAAATTGCGTCAACGAAGTCTAGAACATGTGTTGGCACCACCAGAAACCGCCGCTGTTCAGCAAGCATGGGCGCTGCCATTGCTCGAGACTGATGGCAATGAGGCAACCCTGCTTTTTGTTTTGCCACTGGCTTGCTTTTGAGCTGTAGACGATCCGAAGCTGAAGCTCAATCGCTCATTTCATGGTTTCCTTCTCGCAGCTGCTGGGTGCAATCGCGGCACGATGCCTTTTTCGATTACGATGCTTATCACTATGTTCGTGCTTGGCCAGTGTGGTAACTAATCAGAGCGGCTGTTCGCCCGCATTATTAACGAAAGCAGCTAATCGCGAGTGATGGTTGATAATAATGGCATAGAATAATGCAAAAGTCGCCGCTCCACGATACCCTGCCTCCATCTCGGCGTGTTCGGATACTTATGACAGCGGACAGCTGGTGTTTACGTGTTAATGCAACTGTTTGGTTCGTTCACGAGAGCGGTTTTAGGCGTTGTTTCATCGTGTTTTTACAATGGCTTCGCTATGCATGGGTGAGAATCTTGTCGGGATGCTGCTGGAAAAGAATAGGAAGCAGCGGACATTTTTTTTTTTGAATTTTGAGAATAAACGTTTCTTTGTTTTGCTAGCTCAGATCAGTGATACTTTTTCAATTTCACTATAACGAAATTTTCGCTGCAACGAAATTTTTTCGCGCCCCGCCAGTTTCGTTGTAGCGGGGTTCGAGTGTATATTTATCTTTCAAAACTTCAAATACTTTGGATCATAAAAATAGGGTGCTAATCAAATTGAATGGCAAACAGCATTAGAGGGCCACTCACCTGGCCCCATAACAAATTTTAGTTAGACATTGGAAGTTGTTGCATCTCCGATGAAGAGCATTATGCCAACAAATTTTTTCAATTGGTTCATTACCAGCTGAGAAAACTGTTGTTATGAAGCAGTGCAAAACGAGGATGAGAGGAGGCAAGCTCGAAACTCTTGCCGCTCCCCCATGTAGCCTTTGCAAGGCGAATCTCTTTCCTACCCTTTGCGGCATCCGACCAAGAGGTCGGGGAAATTATTTAAACTCCAAATAAAAGTTTTTGAAGAAACCCAACCAGACAGACATCTGTCGTATGTGTACATTCAGACCAAGAGGTCACGTGCGCATGACATGCCTGAACAAAGCTTAACCCTCGAGCAGGCGAGCGGCGTTGTTTTGTTGACCAGCATTATTTTGTAGTTTACTGCCTGTTTCTGCGGCATGATTTGGAAACGCTGGTTTAGACCTGGCAGAATAGATGGGCGTGATGAGTGCTCGAACGTGCACGACAATTATTTCTTTTCCAGAACAAGCGTCTGCTTGATGCGCTAACCGCATAGACGAGAATGCATGCAAAACGCAGGCACATTAGCCCCGCATCTCGTTGAAATTCTACGGGGTGGGGAAATAGAAAAGACGTGCACATTTCCTTATATTGCGTGTCATTATTTATTTCAAGCTCTATTCATCTATTCAATCAAAAATTACATAAACTATGCGTGTCGTGTTAAATAATTTTCGCCATGTCGTGCTACACTTCGCAACGTCAGAGCACAATCTACGTAGAGGACCAACGTCACTGCGCTGCCGTGTACGTAGGGCGATTACTACGTGTGCGTCATGCCCTCATTCTCAGGGCGCGTGCCCGCGATAGAAAGGGAGAGCTAGTTCATCTTGAAGTTCAACCGATTTTCGCGGCGTGTAGTGTTGGGAATTCAGCAAATGTAGTCATGAACGCCCCATGTACGCATTGCGCTTGTCAGCTCAAAATTGCCAAACCTGGTGAGTGGCCCTTTAAGAAAATTTTTGCTGTCTCCTAGAGTTGACATCTTGTGATGCTTTGTGTAACCACAAGTATTGGAAGTTTTCTTTGTTTTCTCTGTGTAAGTGTAGTGGAAAAGATCTTTTTAAAAGGCAATGCATTTAGAACTATGTCATTGTCAAGAATTCACACCAGCAGAGTAGAATACATTAGGTGATTGCCTGCTTCTTCTTAGCGCCACCAAATGACCCCACCTATATAGCCCCTCACATTTACGGCTACGGTAACCCAGTATGCCAAACACAAAAGCTTACTAAACTTCTCTAATGTTGCCTTTGCAGGTTTGTGTACCAGTGTGTGTTGTAACTTCAGAGCCGGAGCATGCTTTGCAAATCTTTTATTGCGGCATGCCAGCCTCGAAAACACACAAAATAACATGTTGGGCACACGCCCGTATATACAAGTGGCTCGCAGTTACACATGCGCAGTGGCCAAGATTCACTTGTCACCGCACCTTGGCAACTGCGACATGTGTAGCCTATCGCAATATGAACACAACACTGTGAAACATTTTGCAAAATTTCACAATCTTGGTTGGCATTTTGCTAAACAGAAGACGAGCGAATGTAGGTACGCAGCTATATTGGCGTCTGGTGCTGTGGGGGACCGCTCATTGAACCTCACTTTAACACTTTCATGACCGCGAGAAATTTGACCGTTCTTGGGTAGTCCAGAAAACCATGGCACCCAAAGCTACTGGGTTAGCACCCAGTAGCTTTGGGTTAGCACCCAAAGCTACTTTTTATGGCACCCAAAGCTACTGGGTTTAATATTTATAGTGTCAAATTGTACAGCTAGGAGTTATCTGTCAAACACGATCAGTTTGAAACCACAAATTTATTAGTATAATACAAAAAAAGTAATCAAACAAAAAACATTGTAAACATGAACAAAGAAATTTCATAGAACCATCAACACTGCTCTGAACAGGCTAAGCATAAAAGGGGAATGGAAATATACATTTTAGGCGAAAGGAACATGCACAATTATCCTGTAAATATAAGCGCTGCAAATACAAAAGTTTTTGTGTACATAAAATAACATTACCTGTAGTGTCTTTCATGCCACTGTGCAAAGCAGTTCTGCGATGCAGTAAAACACAGGTTTGCTACACATGTTTCACAGAAAACACTTGCTTTCTGTTCGACTGTTCTTTGTTCAAAGCATAATTTACAGTTCCCTTTTTTTTTTTTTGGCTGGTGTCATTAGCTTTGATAGCGTTTCGTGTAGGAGCATCAAGATGAACTGTGAGTCCTCCAAGAACAGTCTCTCTCGCTGTATGTCGGCTTCTGAAAAATATGCGTTCAAGCATTATTATTTGTGCTTTTGTATAGCTATCCAATGACTTGAACAGTAGAAAACAAAAAGTCAACATTGTCACGAAGCGCCGAGCGGCACTGCGTAACGCGGCTCCAAAGTTTATTCCCGGCTGCCTCCCTGCACGAAACTGCACTCTCTGCGATGCCGCCGCCAAGTAGTCCCACCCGAAAAAAGTGGACGCCCTGCAGATAAGCACTCTAACCTTCAGAACACATTGGGTCAACTTACACCGATGCGCACCTGCAACAATGCGGCCTGAGCACAAAGCTAAACTCACTGGTGGACGACCGCTGATGTTCCAGACCGGTTTGATAAACTCTCGTCGTATGCGCTTAAATCAATAGTGTCGATGTCGTCTTCCGAGCCTGTGCTGTTGTCGTCATTTGATTGTTCCAGCCCAGATGCACGAGAATCAACCAAAATTTGCCGTTTTCGGGAAGTGGTCACATGCGACATCGATGCCATGATTAACAGTATGCACGCTCCCTCGCGCGCATGAAAAGGCGCTTTAAAAATCACCACCCGGTGAAGAAAAGAGAAATACAAAAGCGAAACTGATGAAATACTTTTTTTATTCTATGCGTTAGATAGCATAAGGGGTCCAAAAGCGTTCGAAACAGGGAAAATGTACAACTTGTAAACATCGAAAACGTACTATCAATGGGGATAGGCGCAGTCACGAAAGTGTTAATGTGGTCTTACGTCCCTGAAACTTTTGGGACACCTCTTACGCAGTGACGTCTGTGCTAGTCGTGCTATTAATGGGTCTCGATCACGAGAACGAGTACTTAGGCATATTTTGGAAGCTAATTATTCTAAACGTTTGCTGTGTACAGCATACAGAGGGAGCCTATACCAGGTTCCTTATTTTGTGACCCCACTCCTTTAGGTTTACTGGGCGGTGAAAAGATGTGTTCATCTAGTTGTAGTAAAAAATGGTTCATGAAGAACAACATTGCCGGAGATAAGTGATGAGCTTTTGTGTAGAGGAGCCAACTACAGTAGACTCTCATTAAACAGAACCTGAAAGGACAGGGAAAATATGTTCTATCTAAGAGGAGTTTCGTTTACTGAGAGGTGAACATGGGTGCAGAATACAAGTCCGAAACCAAGCATTACAGAGGCAGTAGTTCTATTTAAGCATAAACAGTACTTTCATTTAATAGATTTCCGTTTACGGAGAGTCTACTATACTTCTACGACAATTAAGCACTACGTTTTAAAAAGCTCCTCATGTGCCCCTTCATAGGGACCTGGTATGCAATCAGGCTCCCCAATTGTTCCGTGCAGTGAGGCATGGAGCAGGTACCTGGACTCGGTTGGCGTTCGGGCAGTGTTCTTCTCTGCACTCGTCGAGGGCCAAGATATAAAGGTGGGTGGTCATTCTTGCACAACTAAGCATATCCCTCGGTTTGCATGGCTCGTGTGTCTAGCAGCTGCTGCATTCTTGTGGTATTTTGTTGCAAGTATTCTGCGAGAGATTGCAAAATTTTCTATTATGTTCTTCTAAAGCACTCTAATTTCTCTCAATGTTGACTTCTTCATGATTTCGAAATGAGAGAAAAAGGTTGAATATTGCATGAGCTTTGTTGTGAAACCGTGCTTGCACGGCGCATAGAAGAAGCCGAAGAAGAAGAACTGGTCGGGACCTTTTGTTCGTCATGTTGGGACGGCTTATTGCTCTGTGCCGATAAACCCAGCAGATAAGTTTTTTTATGCCGAACAACCTGGGAAAGCCAACTCGTGCCTTTGCAACTTGCACCTCCTTTTGGGAGAGACTTCTGCAGCGAGCCATCCTGGAAAAACGAAGAAGCTTGTGGCTTGCCGAGCACAAAGCATGAAGATCACCAACAAAGTGAATGATATCCTTCGATCCAGATGATTTGATCTTTTGGCCCTTCTTATCCTGCGCAGCCAGTTAAAAAGTGACAAAGTCTAAGTTGACCACGCTTGATTAATGCCGAGTTGGAATCAGTCATGAACGACGAGCATGCCATAGGAAATTACTTAAAAAGAAAAGATGGTTTCGCATTAGCTACATATGGATACGGGTGAGTGCAACCAACTCTGCCAGCAGCTAGTTTTATTGATTCCATCAGTCAATACGAGGAAGATGCTATGAGTGATTTGGTATTGCTCGAGCACAATTATTAACGTGGTCAAAGTTTCCCTTTGGTTTGTGACAAAGGGGCCACCAACCACCGCTGATGAAAGCCAACCTGCTACTTCCTCGGCAACTCAGCGTGAGTTTGGCTGCTGACTCGCAGGTCGCGCAATCAAATGCCGGCTGCGGCGGCTGCATTTTCGATAGAGGTGAAAATTCCGTAGGGCTGTGTGCTCAGATATGGGTGCATGTTAAAGAAACCTAGATGGTCGAAATTTCCGGAGCCCTTCACTACGGCGTCTCTCATAATCGTACGGTAGTTTCAGAACGTTAAACCCCACATATCAATCATGGTTTCACTCAGAAACAGCCAAAACACTCTCATAGAAAAAGAGAATAGAAAAGACATCAAGCAGAAAGCTGTAACCACTGCTGAATTGTCATGAAGTCTCACACAGAAACTGGTGGTGTCATGTGTTGTTTTAGTTTTTGTTACTGGTATATTGGGGGTGCTAGAACATCACAATAAAACGTTGTGGTCAGTCAAACTTCATTAACAGACCTGAAAAACGTGACTACTGTGCAGTGTGGTGCCCTTTATCTATTTACTGCATTAGTTCTGTGGGTTGAATGTTTTAAGAAGGAACAATTCGAACAGCAAAATGGTACAAGCTATGGTGGCGACGTTTATTGCAGCCATAATCTCTGTGGTCGCCGCACTGCTTTAACGGCAAGCAGCCGCCATTTTAGACGGTGATGTGCCATGCTTCCTCTGTGCGGCAGACGGTTTCAGCGAGAGTAGGTTGATCAGTTTTGAAAAACGGAAGAAGGGTGTCCAGAACTGACTGTGATTGGCGTACATAGAGTAGATAAAATGGACTGTATCTGGTTGCTTTGGGCTGTGCAGTGTTGTAGGCAGAGGTTGTAAATGGAAAAAGGGTGTCCCGTGTTTTGTGTGTGGAATCAATATACACGGAAATTATGTTGACGAGAATCCTATTAGTCTATTCTGTTTAACCATTAGCTTGCGCATTATACGAGGTAGTGTGACGAAAATGGCACGAAGCAAGACGAAGCAGGTCTTCAACTACATCGGCAACAAATTGCCGCCCGCGATGACTGATGATGATGGATGGGGATCCATGGCGTAATATATTGTGCAACAGCATGAACTGTGAAACCTGACAGGCCGTTGCCGAAAGAATCGCCACAGTTTCGGCATAGCATGTGAGGAGGTCAACAGGCACAATAATTCATCGGCTGCCATTTATTGATCGCGGAAAAGGGCTGAGCAGGTCAACACGGACGATGTAAAATGGTCAACCTGGGGTTGTTATGGGATGAAGTAGTCTGTCCGGCGGGGTAGTAAAACGCATTGACATTGCTCACACCTCTCAATGTATGCAGTCATGCTTTTACGTTCTTTTGTGTGATAAAATTTCCGAGAAAAACCCATATGGCCAGATGACGGTGTTATGGGATGAAGTAGTCTGGCTGGTGGATGGCCAGATGAGGGTGTTACGTGATGAAGTAGTCTGACTGGTGGGGTTGTAGGATGCTTGTAGCGTTGACATTGCTCAGAGCACGTAACGTATCCAGTCACACTTTTACGCATATTTAGCCAGAAGAAGCATTCTTTTGTGCGATAAAATGTCCTAGAAAAACCCATGTGGCCAGATGGGGGTCGTTGTGCATTGCTCGAAGTACTTGTCTGAATTTTATAGGCACAAGTAGAAGTAGATGGGGGCCTATGCCTGAATAATTTCTCTAGTAAAGAACCCCATCCTTTACAACGAAACCACATTGACCGTTTGTTGCAGAGATAAAGAAAGAAGCGAGACTGTTGTCACTGTATTGTTCTGCATGAAAGGTTGATAGGTCAAGAAATGGATCATTGACAACTGCCAAATATTCATCAAAGTTGTCCTTGTCACACTCTGTTGTCTGAAGGGGAAGCCGTGAAAGACAATCAGTGCTGGCACCACGACAACTGCTCTTGTAGCAGGCTTTAAAATCGTATTCTTGCAATCGTAACGTCCAACAAGCAAGACGACTGGATGGGTCTCGTAGTCCAGTGAGCTGACACAAAGAATGGTGATCCGAAAATCGAAAATCAGCACCTATAGATATAAGGATGAAACTTGCGCATGGCGAATATGACCGCAAGACATTCCTGCTTTGTGACATTGTAGTTGCGCTCCACTTCACTTAAACAGCGACTGTCATAGGCAGTGATGTGTTCAGCAGCAGCATGGCGTTAGACCAAAATGGCATCGATACCTACACCACTAGTGTCGGTATAAACTTCTGTGGCAGCAGATGGGTCATAGTGGCAAAGTATGGGCGCTGACTTAAGATCCAAAAAAGACGACTCGCATTCTGCTGACCACCGAAAAGGTGCGTCCTTGTTGAGGGGGACACCAAGGAGTAAGCGAGGTTGGCAAACTTAGGCACGAAGCAGCACAAGCCCAAAAAGCTTCACAACTCTCGCACATACTGAGGTTGTTTGAAGCTGTTGACTGCAGCGACTTTTTGAGGGTCGGGTCAAACACTATACTTGTCAAATAAGTGAACGAGAACCTGAGTCTCACGGTTGCCGAACTGACACTTCTTAGAGTACAGGGTGAGCTTAGCTCTCTTGAGGCTGGTGAGAACAATGTCTAGACGATGGTTGTGCTCATCGAATGTACGGCCAAAAATGATAATGTCATTCAGGTAACAAAGACAAACTTCCCACTCAAGTCCTTGTAATGTAGTGTCCATGAAGTGCTCAAACATGGCTGGCACGTTGCGTAGGCCAAAAGGCATTACATTGAATTCAAATAGACCATTTGGGGTTATGAAGGCTGTTTTTCTTTGTCGTTGGTATGCGTGGTAATCTGTCAATAGCCAGATCTCAAATCCACGGAGAAGTACGATGCAGAATGTAAACAATCAATGATGTCATCAATCCTGGCAAGTGGGTAGACATCCTTTTTAAGTAACAAAGTTGAGGCGTCTGTAGTCCATTGTAGTCCATGCAGAATCGCCATGTACTGTCCTTCTTCCAGACAAGAATCGCAAGAGCAGCTCAAGGGCTAGACGACTCTTGGCTGACCCCTTTCTTTAACATCTCTTCTACCTGTTGAGAAAAGACCTTGCGCTCCACAAATGAGACGCGGTATGATTTCTATACCAGATAGGGTGAGCGAATTCTGTGTTGATCCCGTGACAAGTACGTCATTCAGGTACACTTATTTGCTCTTCATTCTGCGGAGAATCAGATATAGCAGCATGCTTCGCAAGGACTTTGACCAAAGCGTGACGTTTTTCTGATGATAGCGACTTGTTTATCATACCGAGAAAGTTGGCTTTTGTATAGTACGTTGCATGAATAGGGTCTCAGCTTTCGTGGCTTAAAGATGCAGTGAAAGTGTGCGCATTTGTTTGAAGAGGGAGAGTTGCAGTCCTCGGTGTACCATGGCAGCTTCAGTAGAATAATTTAACATACATAACACCAATCGCCCATCACTGATGGAAAGAACACATTGTGGAACGAGCACATTTTTCTTGGAGCAGTTCAGAGCAACGGGCTTCACAAGATCATCAAACGTGCCGGCGTCTGAGGGAGAGGCCTCTACGAACGTTCTTCATCGAGTTGGGTGGAAGATAACATTCTTAATGACCGTGATGGATCCTTGGCAGCACTTGGGATCGTCAGTAAATGCCTATAGCATAATTTCGCTAGCACCGCAATTTACAGTAGCACCACACTCGCGTATAAAATCAATCCCCGAGATGATGTCATGGGTAGAGCTGGTCAGGACAACAAATTCAGCCTCAAACACCTTGTCGCCCACAGTAACACTAACAACACACACACTGATAGGGCACAGCGTCGTCTGCTCACTGCACGAAATGTTGCACAACTGCCCCAGCAAAACATCACTTTATGTCCTAGCTGCAATTTGAAGACTCATCACTGAAACAGCTGCTCCAGTGTTTATGAAAGCCATGGCAGTCCATCTATAAGCCCTGGGACCTTATTTTGAATCATAAAGACGGGTGGAGGCATAGATGGATGTAGTGAAAAATGTTCGGCGACCTCACCTCCATTGGCCACACCACCTAGTTTCCCGGCGGTGGGGAGGTCACACGTCAACCAGGGGATAGTAAACAGAGCCCGCGTGCTGTGGGGGGCGTGGAGCTTCTTGCGGAGGAAGGCGAGTCACAGCAGAATTTGAAATTGCGTCCCACGTGTGTGTCACTGGAGACAGTTTGCTGGAAAC